AGCAGGTCAACATTTATAAACTATGTATAAAATGCTTTTATTGCTGCTTGTTCATTTGTTAAATGTACAGGATTGTTCTATATGAAGAAAGCTGTAGTCACCAAAATGGGTGGCAGGAAAAAAACATTTGATTTGATTATACTAATTAAACCAGTCAAACTGATTTCCATTCTGCTGGTGGAATGGCCACTAGAGGAAGTGTTGGTCTTTCTTAACTTCAGCATTTACATTTCTGTTCCTTTGATCAAGCTAATTAAGCACTATGTTCACGCTGCCCTTTTGCTCTGGTTGTGTATTCATACAGCTCATTAATGTTTTACAGGACTGAACCACTGAAGACTCTGAAGGTGGCCCGTGAAAACTGGCACAGAGCAAATTTCATTTATTATTGTCCTGATAAAAATTCTCTAAAGTATCCGGATCTATCTAATAGAAAAATGTCTATTGATCCAATTCAAAAGATTATTTTAAAACAAAATGCTTGTGATTTTGAAAGTGATTATATAAATATCAAAAATATAGATATAGAGAATGAAGAAATGATAACATCTGAGAAAGATATGAACAAAAGAAAGGAGAAAACACAATATGCATTTTACTTTTTTAGAAGTAGAAAAGGGTCCTTTACGGATCCATTTGGTCCATATTTCCCAAAAGATAAAGGTAAAGTTCACAGTGAGGATTTGGTTTGTGCTGAAATAGAAAAACTAGGAAAAGGGCTTATAGAATACAGTGACCTGTATATTTACACAGTGTACAGCCCCTGTATGGGGAGAAAAAGTACTGACCCCTGCATGTGTCGGTTAGACCTTTTATCTGATATGTTGGGCAGATGTTATGGGATTAAACTTTACATCTTTTTTTCAAAATATTACGGCCCCACAGGACCTTTTCTTTTACATCAATATATTAACACAAAACAAGTTCTAGAATTAGCTAGGACCCTAATTAAAACTGATGACCTCCAATCTGAATTCCCCCTGAAAACATCATTTAAAGTTCTGATAAATCAGTTCATGAATTCTGATAAACTTACAAAATCATATAAATTGTTTAACAAGATATTAAGAGACAAAAGTAAATTTCGCAGCATGTGCTCTGAATCTGGTCAGACATATGAAGAGTTTAAAAAGATTGGAATGAAAATATCAGAAGAATTTGAGAAAACACTGAGAGCTTTCATTAGTGAAGAGGATCATCAGAGTGTCCTTAATTACATCCGTGAATTTGAGACCTGGTGGGATGGGATTTTAAGAAAGTCATATTGTGATTTTTTTAGACTAAGTGAATGTTTTAACACAGAGGTGACCAGGCGCTTCATTCACGACAGCCAGCAGCTTCCATATGGACCCATTATACGCTGTATTGGTGACATCACCTGATAACCCTCTGTAGGAAATCTGAATTTGACAATATTGTAATAACTTTGAATAAATGAGTTTTACCCCTCAGTGGCACTGTGTTCATCTTTTCATGTTTTTATCTTCTACTTTGCTCTGACTTTGGGAGGGATAAGGGGGACAGATATTTAGTTCTGTTATGGGTGACCGAACAGAGCAGAGAGTTGACAGACTGCAGCGGGAGGCCTGGCTATGGCAGCTTAACTAAGAGGGAAAACCAGAGGGTAACAAGGACATGAGGGCTCCCTGAGAAGTCAGCGCCCCTCTGCTCCATCGTCAACAAACTAGAGTGAACACGTAAGAGCAGCGGGATGACAGCACCAACATTCCCAGGTTACCATAAGACACCATAAGAACCCCCAGATCTGCACCTTTTTTCTAAAAGGAAAACTAATTAACCAAAGGCTCGACTAAACAGGTACGTTTTTAGCCTAGACTTAAAGATGGAGGCTGTGTCTGAGTCCCGAACACTGACTAGGTTGATAGTACAAAAATACAGATGAACACACGTATTAATATCAGTGCAGTCTTGTACAGGTAGAGGGCAGTACTGCAGCACACTGGACTAGAAATGAAATGACTACAAGACTAAAGTACAGAAGTTTAGCATTATTATGAGTATTAACTCTGAGTATAAACCAGAAAACTTCAAATCTCATGAAGCTTCAGCAGCTTTCTGTAAAACTAGACTCTCAAAGCTCATCAGCTCGATACTAGTACCAACTTACAGTGCCCTTATTTGAAACTTCATTATTACGTCTCTTCATTGCCATACAAAACAAGTAAGAGTGATGTAGGGGATCCTTCTTATCTCACAGTCTCGCACAGTGTGATGTTTAATCCCAGTGAATGCATCATCTCAGTGGTTAGCAATTCAGAGAATCTGCTGAAATCCTAACCTGTTTGAAGGTGCAGTGTGTGAGATTTAGAGGAATCTACTACCAGAGAATGATTATAATATACCGCATGTTCTTTAGTGTATAATCAGCTGTAACTATGAATCATTGTGTTGTCGTTATCTAAGAATGCGCCTTTCACGTCTACACAGGGAGCAGCTCCTGTTCAACAGCAGCCCCCACTGCCATGTTTCTACAGTAGCCCAGAGCAGACAAACCACACACTGGCTCTCTCTCACACTCTCAGCTTGAATTTGGTGGCTGGTGATGCTGACCATTTTGTGTTGTGAGAAGTGTGAGAACAAGAGTTCTACAGCTGCATCGTTCATTCTTAAAAAGGTGCCACAGTCGTTCTTTGAGTGGAGGCTGTGGTGTATTATAGGTGAAAAATAATAAAGAAGAAGTGTGTGGTACAGAAGTCCAGAGAGGCCATGAGGTAGTTATAAGTTTCTTAATTATTATCTTGAGATAACAAGATAATTAACTTGTAACTTGACAACGAATTAGTTGTCTTGTTATCTCAAGATAATGAGTTAGTTATCTTGTTATCTTGAGCTTAAAGTTAAAAGAAGCAAACTGAGTCTATGAACTGTATTTCTATTCTTCAGAACCTTTTTTTCTTTGGTGTTGGTATTTAGAACATATAGAAGAACCATTAGTTAGTTTAGAACCATGTTTGTAGATACATGTGTGAGATAGAACCTTCATATCACATAAAGGTTCTTTATCAATTTTCATTTATGTTATCTAGAAGTTGTTGAAGACCCTTTCATGAGGTGAAGATTAGTCTCATCCAGGAAAGAACGAGTGATTCCATTTGGGTTCTACCAGCTTCTTTACTCTCTGGCACCCCTTCTGGTTCTGTTCCAAACATCTATGAAGATTTTGCATCAGTTGCTCTGAAATGTTGTTGTTTGACAGGTTATATATGTGTTGTATGTTGTTCTGTGCTGCTCTGTGTTGGTAAGTGGGAGTTATTGTGTGGGTGTTTTCTGGTGCAGTGTTGGTGTCTAACATCAGGGAGATTTGATTGGCTGTTGACGACCTGCCTGCTGTTTCAGCTGTTCAGCAGAGCTGGGCGGCAGCATCCGCTGCTGCCGTGTTCAGTAAAAGAGGATTTGTCTGAAGTGTTATGTTTCCCACAACTCCTTCTTCACCAAATCATCACAGTACTCAACAGCCAAGCAGTAAGCAGTGCTAATAACACACTACAAAGATCTTCATCATTGTACAAAGTTCATGTCTCTAGAGGAGTTTTTAAAGAGACCACCTACTAAAGAGCCCCTCACTCCTGTCATACAGAGCATGGTGTTTATATGATCACCAACTTTTCCATGAAAAAAAGCTCAGTACGAACATTAAAAACTCAGACCACTGTTTTTAAACTGGGACATTAGAGCTCAGGCTGTGTTGTGGATGACTCGCTCGTCCTGCCGTGTTACTGGCTGCACGTGTTCGGCCTGCTCTACACTAGCGTTTCATTTTTTAACATTAAAAAAAAAAACAAAAACGAGACTTCAGTCTACACTAATTAGATCATTAAACATGAAAAACAAGCCTCTAAACAGACTTCAGGTTGTTAACTGTGATGTGAAACATTTAAAGACCCCCTCCCGATCATCTGCTGCAGTCTTTCCACTGCAGTCCTTTAAAGACAACTTCCTCTTTTTGTTCTTTGTTTCCTGCAGTTGTTTTTTGTGAGTTCATTTCAACCTCAGCTGATCTCCCACGCCCCTCCTGACCCTCTTCAACAGACACTTCCTTCATGAGTGAGTTTAGCAGCCTGTTAGAGTCCCAGTGACCGTCCTGGCCTTCTGCATCTGTTTTTCTTCATCTATGTTTCTTTTTGTTTTTCTATCTTTTTCTGCAGCTGATTTTCTGTGCCTGTTATTCTGTATGAAATATTATTAAATTCTGTATTATTAAATTTAATACTTTGTATATTTTTCTTGTAATTTTTGTACATATACATATATCTTTATATTTTTATTGTTTATTCTATTTTAAATATTGTTTGTATATTTCCTGCTGCTCTGTCTTCTGTGCTGCTGTAACACCGCAAATTTCCCCGTTGTGGGATTAATAAAGGATTATCTTATCTTATCTTATCTTATCTTATGTCTTTTTCTGATGTTCTTAATTCTACAATTTTACTTCCTATAAATAAAATCATTTACTGTGTGTTTTACTCCCATGTTATTTTCAGATAAAGACAAATTCCAAAGTTGCTGTACTGACTTTCAATCTTTGATGGTGGATTGATGCTCAGCCTAATACTATAAAACTCTAAAATGATTTTATATAATTGCAGTGAGATGTTGATTAAGCAGATATGATGCTGTGAGAGCTGAACACCGTATTTCTATAAATGTAAAAAAACTGACCAATTAAATTATTTTAGATGAAGCGAAAAAATAACATTTTATTAATGGGTATTTAGGATTTGTTACCTTTGTGTTACCATAACTAGTTACAGCTGCAGTTACTAATTTATTACTTACTAACAACTGGAAAGATGTGATTGATCGGTCTGTACAAATTGTTACCATTATATTACCATATTATTACCCACTTATTACAAATTTATAAAGTGCAGTCAATGTAGAAATGAATCAGATTCAACCGTATGAATAGCCACAGCAGTTCACACTGATGTTTATGTGTGCATGTGTTGCAGAGTGAGTGGAAAGATGAGGCTCAGAAACACAGTTGGGTTTTGGTTTATTTATTGCAGTGTGTTCAATAGCATTAAATTCTAATCCATTTTCATCTAAATTCAGAAAGAGGAAGTTCAATAAACTTTAGAAAGTCCAGTTGGGTCAGATTCTTACTATCATCAGTTAAAATCTCCTGAAGAAGGTGGTTGTTATCATCAGTTAAAAGCTGTGGCAGAAGGTCCTGGAGAAGCTTCTGGATGTCCTGAATGAAGAACCTCAATGCTGTTCTGTTGATATGTTCGCTAAGTAATGCTTGATCTACACTAGCATTCCACCATTCCTTTAATTTAGATCTGAAAGCATCACAAATACGATCATAAAGATCTTTATCAGCTATTTCTCCCAGTAGATCCTTAAATCTGTTTTCTTCAGTGCTTAGTATTTCATTATTATTTTCCCAGAATCCTATTGTGTTAAAAGACTCATAGACCTCTGTTTTAAATTTGCCTAGTCTGTCTAACAGTGTAATCTGGTCTTCACCTTCAGTGGCATTTTTAATAAAACTGCACACATCAAACTGCTTTATCTTTTTTAGGCTAAATTTGTATTGAGGGTTTGAATCCTTAATTTCTTTTATAGCTTGTGTGACTAGTTGATCATCTTTGTGATGAGCTAAAAGCTGACTGATGGGTCCTGCAAATCCATAATATATTGAGAAACAGATGTATGTTTTAATATTATACTCTTTAAACAAAAAACATGATAAACAGATTAACAGAATGATGCAGGGATGGCCATCTTTTTTGCCCATACAGGGGCTGTATAGAGAATAGATCCATAGTTCACTGTATTTAGTAATCTCTCCCCTTTTTACTATTTCTATTATTTTGTTAACTATAAAATCCTCACTATGTTGATTATTTTCTGGGACATGTGGACCAGTTTTCCACTCTAATGTTTGATCTGTGTTTGTTAAAAAAGCAAAACCATATTGTTTGTTTTTATCAAATTCTTCATTCTCTACTTTTTTTATGAAGTCAAGGAAAATATCTTTGTTAAAACTATCATGACAAACATTTAAATTAGGACTGTTATTATTGATATTATTTATTTTAATATTGTTATTTCTATTTAGTATTTTTTTGACAGAGTTTATACTCTTAGGTAGGTCTAAGTATTTTATAGCTTTTTCGTTAGAACTATAATAAATCCATTTTTCTTTGTTCATTTTGCTCTGTTTCCTAATCTCCACCAGTCCAGTCCTGTAAAACAGTACAGAGCTGTATTAATAAAGCTGTAATACAGTGTTGTTATGATGATGAAGTGTGAATGTTAATGTTTATTTATCTTTGTTACTCACAGCAAATCATCCACAGTAGCTGGATGGTCATTGGTGGTCTGAGTGGAGTCCATGGTAGCTGGATGGTCAGTGCAGGTGAGAGTGGAGTCCAGACTCTTTAAGCCTTCAGCAGAATCTGCTTCATCATCAGCAGGATTCTCACTCTCACTATGCGGACGTCTCTTCCTGAAGATCACAACAAGAAACTGTGATTAACTGTTTATGAAAATGCCAGACAATCTGCCTCCACATACATGTTCAATACATTTTCCTAGAATTTATTTCTGAATATTGACTTTATGAAAACTTCATTCTGGGAATGAATTTATTGCATTAACAAAAAACCATTTCATTTAAATAAAGTGATTCTGAGTGTTACACTCATACACAGGTGCATATTTTAATCACCTATAAATAATTAATTCATAATATTTTTAGTGTTTTTAATTCCAAACCGCTGTAATTCTACACCATGACTTCAAAATCTCTTCACCAGTAAAACCTGATTTTAGGCTGTTTTTCACCCTGACTCATTTCATCTCCTTCAGTCTGAGTTCAATATTTCAAATCAAAGTTTCAAAGTGTATTATCAACACAAATTATTGATTTATAATCAATTGAACTCAATCAATTTCAATCAATGGACTGATTTTTGATCATTTAATATAATTGAATAGTAAAACAGTTAATTATTAATTTCCAAATGAATCTTAGTAATTCTGCAGGAGGCCTGTGTCCTCACAGGAGAGGAAATATATTCACTATATTCAGCTTGTTATTCAAATACTTCATATTCCGAAATGATTCATCCTTAAAGGAGTGATTTAAGAGGCAGTGAAACACATCCGTCCTTTTCAGGATTAAGTTCAAAGATAATTATTTATTTATAGGTTTGATAGAAATATAGAAATACTACGTAAATTATAGGAAAAACTGTTGCAGGAATTTAATTTTATTTATTAAACCCAAGTCAGAAAAAGTCGGGACAGAAAGACAAATTCAAATGAGGAAAGCTGCGATTTCTGAAACTGACTTTGACTTTATTTCATTGCAGACAATATGAACACAAGATCTTTCATGTTTTGTCTGGTCAACTTCATTTAACTTGTAAATATACACGCATTCCTGCCTTTCAGACCTGCAGGACATTCCGGAGAAGACAGGACGGGGGCGATTTAGGGCCAGTAATAATAATCAAATAATGACACGATCTGAAACAGGAGATGTTCTGTTTACAGAAAGAACAGAACAAAATCACACCTGAAACGCTTCATTACTCAGTATCTTCACTCCCTAAACATATTTTATGTGCTGAGAAAAGGAATGGCAACATTAAAGAGTGCTAAATGCTTTACTGTCCCAACATTTTTTAAATAAAAAAAACAATTAAATTCATAATGAAAGACATGAAATGATGTTTTAGATGTGCTGTTGTTTTCAGTGTGATAGAGGTCAAAATCGTTTACAAATCACTGTTTTCAACTGAAATTTTAACCGAACACTCTCACCTTTGTTTCTGATTTGGGGTTGTAGTTCATGTAAAATGAAATATTATTGTTAGTGTTGTATTTCTGATGATGGTTCAGCTCAGTTCAGTCCCTCTGTAAGCAGTTAAACTGAGTGATTTAGAACCTTAGATAATATGTGGAGCAGTTTTGAGGCTTTTCATGGTTTTTCATGGTCAATTAAATAGAAATGTCTGTTGTCCAGTCAGGTTCCAGCTGAGTAACCCCACAGTTAAAGACTCATGATTAACGTACCTGGACTGCTGCTCTGGTTCCCTGTCCTCTGTAGGAGAGGGACGACGCTTCATAGAGGCCTGAGGTAGAAGGACATAAATAATATTTACTTTAATAAAAAGAATTCCCCGGTCTTATTAAAACTTATTTTTTTAAAAAAATCAGTCATATGATCTAAATTATGATTATATTCCATTATTTTCAGATTATTTTCAGATTTGTGATTTAACAGTATCATTCAAATAGATAATAATAAATAATAATAATAATAATAATAATACAATTCCATAAAACAAAGATAAGAAAGAAATTTGAGAAAATAAAAACACTGAAAGTGAAAAGGGGTAAGAATTAAAAAACAAATTCCAAAAATTAAAATCCAAAATAAAAACATCACAAACTGATCACATAGATGATAAAATAAATTATTAAATACATTCAAATAAAAATAAACTATAAACCACAATAGGACAAATAATGCAGTATAAAACTAGAGAAAAGCTGAAGTAAAAAGTTTTTAGCTGCTCTTAGAACTGTAAACTGAGGATGTTCGTTGTCTGTCTTGTGGAGGAGGTTTCCACAGTTTGGGGGTGTAAACACTAAACGCAGCCTCCCGGCTTCTTTTGTGTTTTGTTGTAGTAACAGAGATGAATCCTGCGTTTGATGTTGTGGAGCAGATTCAGGTAAACAGTCTGATATGTAGGCTGGTGACCATTAATGGCCTTAAAAAGGAACCAAAGGAGATTTGGTTTCCTGTAATGAACAGGAGAGTGAGTGATATGTTCATTCTTCAGGATCTTCCTTCCTGTTCATTCCAGGATACATTATAAAGCTTCTTTGATTCGTTTTTAATAGATGAGCATCTGCCTACATATCAGACCGTTTAACTGATCTGCTCCACAACAACGTCTAACATCATCAAACCCACTAACATCAAACCCACTAATTACTGATCGGAAGAACTAGTACTCACCATGACGCGTGTCCCGGTTCTCCCGGCCTGAGGGCTGGGACAGAGCGGAGGCAGATTACGCTGGTCCTGACCAGTGTCCAAATAGGTGATCAGCTCTACAGGGCGGTCTGTATCACTGTTCATTTTAACTGCGGGTTCTGAATCAGTCAGGAGTCCGCAGTTCACCCCGTCCCAGCCCTCAATAAGTCTCCTCTTAAACCTGTTTGGTGAAGTGGAGCTAATGTGTTAATTATCAGTGAAAGTGGCGATCATTCGATCTGGTCTGTGTCAGGCCACCAGCGGTTTTATAGTCTCATGTGACGTCAGCATCGTTATGCTGGGTGGAGACTCTGAGTTTCTGTTTTTGATAATGGAAAGTTACTGGTGCTGCTGTTTCATCATCGTTTTAGCTGCAACTTTAATTGTAGGCGAGTTGAAACAGGAACAGGTCATGTGGTTTTAAAACTGAGTTGCTGTTTCCTCTAAACCTGCAGTAGAAGGTGTGCTTATCTTATCTTGGAGACACGACTACAGTTCAAACGCACCTCCAGCTCAGTTATTGTTAATTTTTAAAATCTCTAAATCTTCAGCTGTGAAAGTAACAGAACTACTGTAACCTTTACATCCAGAGAGATGAATATATTAAACTGGACAGGTCAACACAGGAAGCAGGCAGTGGCCAAAATAGAAATGTGTACCAAAGGTAATGGATGTCTATTACAGGCGACCCATCACACAGTAATGCTATGTAATAGACACATCTCAGAATCTCAGAAATATCATTTATTATCAGATCTTTCAGTTTAATATCAAATCCTCAAGGAGGAAATAAAGAAAAGAGTTTTGGTTCTCTAAATATTAGACTCACATAAATACAGTTCATTAACTTGTAGATATCAATCAAGTTCAAGTGATATACACTCAAAAAATATAGAACTGGCTCTTCTGCATCTTAAAATAACAAAATATGTTGATATCAACTGAATTTACCCATTTTAAAATGTACTTAAAGTATTACAGTTAAAAGGATGTAATTATCACAAATCTTACATCAGCAAAAGTCAAAGAAGCCGAATGAAACAGAATGAATTGTGTTTTCCAATTTTCATGGGATTTCTCCTGCTATCACAACAAAAATACCCAACAAATGAAGTATATTTTAATTTAAATATTATACATAAAACATTACTCAACTGTTTTGAGTTATGGGAATTTATTTGGATGACTGTTTTAATTCCAATGGTATTTTGAAGATCTTAAAAACCTTTTAAAATTTAGTCTGTTGTCATAATCAGCTGGAAATATTGGCACCGGAGATTAGGTGTTATTAGCTATTCCTGAGTGCAGCTCTAAACTACAGTACAGTGCAGATAAGTAGGACCAACACAAGTTAAATCAGCACAAATAAGTTCAATAAACATTAAAGAGTTGAGTTGGAAATGTGATAGCTGAATGAGTCACTGAATGAGTCTCAGTTTTTCATATGCCAAGGTACACTAACTCTTTCAATGTCAGATCCCTTCAGGGTTGTGGTTTTAGAAGTGTAAAATCAATTTCGGAGGCTCTGGAAAATAAATTTAGTTTTCTCAACATTTAAGGCTAGTTTATTACTATAAAAATGCCAAATGTAGGGCATTAAATGTGTGAATGCCATGTGTTGGCTTCCAGGGCAGAGTCTAGTGAGAAGGTGGCACATCACTGTCCAGCGGCGGGGTCCAGCCAGAGGGCCGTGTGTCAGCATCCAGTGACGAGGTCCAGCGAGAAGGTTGTGCGTTGAGCGCGTTCTGCCCTCCAACTCTGCTATCTTCTGGGATAGACAGGCAAAGATTTTGCACTGTGTAGGCATGTGGAAGACCACCAGCATTAAAAATAAAACAGTTTAGCTTAGGATAAGCCAGGCTGCTCTCTGACTCTGACATGAATGATGATATAAGATAAGATGAGAAGACAATCCTTAGATAGTCCTACAACAAGGAAATTCACTGTGCTACAGCAGCAAAGTCAAGTCAAGTCAAGTCAAGTCAAATTTATTTATATAGATTTACAGAGAATCCGGGTCCACGCCCCCAGTGAGCAAGCCTTGGCGAGAGTGGCAAGGAAAAACTCCCTCAACAGGAGGAGGGACAGCAAGGCACTCAAAAAAAGAGGAACAAGAAGAGAATAAACAAGCAAGTAATTAACCTTGTTAATCACTTAACAAGGTTTACAGTTTGTTACTTTTTACTATGTAAAGAATATATATATATATATATATATAATACTAAAGATAAAAAATAAGCGATTCTCTCTCTCTCTCCCTCTCTCTCTCTCTCTCTCTCTCTTCTTACTAGGGATCCGTGGATCACACATTGGACACATTACTGCCCTAACCTAAAAGTTATTTTTATACTTACCACCAGATATCTCTTCTTGATTAAGATTTGAGTCTTCAACCTTTAATAAATGTTTATAAATGCATATCCAATGAGGCAAAAGAGGAAAAGAGCGGCTCTGCCCCTTTCATCTTATTATGGACGCTAAAGGACCACTTCATCTATTTAGCAGATCACCACAGTTACTTTTTAACACCAAAATAGGGTTTGTGATGCTGCAGAATGTGCCAGTTTCATAAAGAAACTGCAGATTTACACCTGAAACCAGAGCAAAAGACTCAGGACATCAGGCCACAGGGAAGGTCAAACCAGATACCTGATAAAGCATCTTCTTTTTTAATAGTCTGCCATTGTGTTGACCTGTGTTCAGTCTGTAATGAATCCTGAAAGCTGCGTCCCTACCAGAGTGTGATCTCGAGCTAATTTAATGAAAGTAATTCAGGCTTCAGGATGACCGCTACTGTCTTGAGCTTTATGCTGGTGTACTTTAGTTCATGGTTATAGATAACACTGAGTGATACAGTGTCAAACCATATCATCAAGTCTATCAGAGATACTGAACAGGTCCACACAGAAACTTCAGCTTGACTGGAATGTGGTCTGACTGGTTTCTGTAGCTGCCTTTTAGAAAAGAAACTGTGGACAGATAATTACTTGGCCTGTGCAGAACCAGAGAGTGTATTTGTAATGGAAAACAGTGTTCTAATGGAACATGAAAAGAAGATTGCTCTGTTCCCCTTCTTAGAAAGAGAGCATGCAATGTGTCTGTGAGAGTGGAGAGGGCTACAGGTACATGGTGTAGATGTGGATTTTTGTTGTATTTATGAGTGTGAAGAGGGCTATACAAGTCAATGGTATGGGTGTGGATTTGTGATTTATCTTAAAGGCTGAAGAAGGCTATAGAGGTATGCAGTGTGGATCGGAACGTGTGGTGCATCTATAAGGGTGATCAGCACTAAATGTATGCAGTGTGGATGTGGACATGTGGTGTATCTATGAATGTGGGCAGGGCGACAGATTTGCGGTATGAATGGGCAGTGTGTCTCTAAGCAGGGTAAGAGAAAAATATATGTGTTGTGAATGTAGACGTGCAGTGTCTATGACGGTGTAGAGGGCTACATGTATGCAGTGTGGATGTGGACGTATGGTGTATCTATGAGATTCTACACGGCTACAGGTACATGATAGGTGGACTGCATGTGGAAGTGTGGTGTATCTCTGAGGTTGGAGAGGGCAATAGGAGTCTGGTGTGCATGTGGATGTGTGGTGTATCTATGAAAATGGAGAGGGCTACAGGGACACATTGTGGATGTGAATTTCTGGAGTATACATATGAGGGTGAAGAGGGTTATATGAGTACATGGTGTGGATTTGGATTTGTGGTGTATCTAAAAGGGTGAAAAGGGCTTTACAGATATGCGGCGTGGATGTCGATGTAAACTGTACCCATGAGCGTGGAGAGGGCTATAGGTACATTGTATGGATGTGAACATGTGCTGTATCTGTGAGTGGACAGGCCTACATGTATGCGGTGTGGATTTGGATGTACGGTGTATCTATGAGGGTGGAGAGAGTGACAGGAATGCGATGTGCATGTGTGATGTATCTATGAGGATGGAGAGGGCCACAGGTACACATTGTAGATGTGGCTTTGTGGTGCATATATGAGGGTAATGAGGGGTATACAGGCACGCAGGGTGGATGTGGATTTGTGGTGTATTTAAAAGAGTGAGGAGGGCTATACCTGTACGTGTTGTGGATGTACTATTGAGGGTGGAGAGGGCTACAGCTATACGGTCTGGATGTGGCTTTGTGGTGCATATATGAGGGTGGAGAGGGTGACAGGAATGTGGTGTGCATGTGGATATGCAGTGTATCTATGAGGTTGGAGAGAGCTACATGTATGCACTGTGGATGTGGACGTGCAGTGTTTCTACGAGGTTAGAGAGGGTACAGGTATGCATTGATGTGGATGTGTTGTTTATCTATGAGAGTGAGGAGGCTACAGGGACACCTTGTGGATACAGATGTGAGGTGTATGTATGAGAATGATGAGGGCTACAGGTCTAAGATGTGGATGTGGACAAGCTGTAAACCGGTGAGTGTGGACAGGGCTACACGTAGGCAGTGTGAATGTGGATGTGCAGTGTATCTGAGAAGGTGGAGAGGGCTACAAGTAAATGATGTGGATGCTGACATGTGCTGTATCTTTGAGGGTGAAGAGAGCTACAGGTATGCTGTGTGGATGTGGACGTATGGTGTGTCTATGAGGGTGGACAGGAGTAAATGTACAGTGTGGATGTGGACATGCGGTGTATCTGTGAAGGTGGAAGGGCTGGAGGGGGTGGAAATGCAGTGTGCAGGTGTGGTATATCTCTGAGGGTGGAGAGGGAAAAATGTACTTGATGTGGATGTAGACGTCCAGTGTATCTATCAGGCTGGAGGGCTACAAGAATGCGGTGTGCGGTGTATGTGATGTATCTATGACGACTGAGATGGTCACAGGTACATGGTGTGGATGTGGACGTATGGTGTATCTATGATGTGAGTGTGGACAGTGCTACACGTCTGCTGTGTGAATGTGGATGTGCAGTGTTGGATAGTGCTGAAGGTGCACTATGTGGATGTATACACGTGGTGTATCTATGAGGGTGAAGAGTGCTACAGGTACACAGTGTGGATGTCACACATACATATGCACACTGCATAACTGTAGCCCTTTTCATCCTAATAGACAGACCACATGTTCACATCCACAGTGCATACCTGTAACCCTCCTTACCCTCATAAATTCACCACGTCTGTATCCACATTGTGTACCCGTAGCCCTCTTCATCCTCATAGATAAAACACAGATCTGTGTATATGTGGGG